GCAGGAGCAGCATTGCAGCTTCCAGAGTTTTGGGCAGTGCTGCAAATGATAAACCCAGAGAAGTAAACTGGTGGTCCAGGTTGAGCGCTTTGGCTGTGGTTAAGCCAGCAGTTTTGGAATAATGGTCAGTCATGAAAAGGCCTGTTTCTCATCCCGCCTTGACCCCTGGACACACACACACACTACATTTGGACTTCTAGAATGAGTATCAGGGGTGAGTCTGGGTGTACAGAATGTGAGCCCCTTTGCTTGGCAACATGGGGCAGCAGGGAGACCCAAGTCTGAGCTCATGTCTTTCTCATCCAAAGGAAGAAGGAAGCAAGAGGGAGAGCAGAGTTCAAGGGCAGTAGCTTTTAGGATGGGGAGAGCCGAGAGGGTGGGAGGCTGTGCCCATTTCTGTGCTCCTACTGATCCCCAAGGCCTGGGGAAAGTGGAGACCGGCCCTTGCCGTACCCTGGCAGGGCCGAGTGGCGGGCCGGCCCCAGCCCTGCAGCCCTGGGCCTCCGGCTCCTGCTCTCCCGTGTTTGTCTTGGCTGAGGTCTGTGCGGGGCTTTTTGAAGCTGATTTCATCAAGGCAAAGCTGGAAGAATCAGGGCATGAGATCACAGAGGAGAGAGCTGGAGGGGCCTCAGACAGGGAAAGAGACGGTCCCAGCTCAAGTTGGTGGCCCAAGCTCCACGGAGGGGTGAGACACGGGCCAAGGAGGACACAGGCCAGGAGGACACGCGAGTGCTCAAAGGCACTGGCACTGGGTTGTGCGGCCTCTGCTTGTCACACAATGCATACAGACGCCCTCACACACCAGGGCCTCGGCCACACCAGCAGGTGCCCCTGGCCCAGACGGGGGTCTCCAAGGAGGTCCAGCTGGCCCAGGGCACTGGACTCTGCCCCACCCCTGCCAACCCCATAATTCCCAGATCTTGATTCAGTGCCCCCCACTCCCAGATCAGTGCAGACCCTCCCTCGTCCTGTTCCGCACAGATGCTGATGGGTCACGTGCCCCACAGCTGAAGGCCTCCCCATCCACCTCCACCATCTGCTGAGGCCCCGTAATTATCCCAAGGCCCCGTGCAGCCTCACTTGGAGGGGAGAGTTCATGCAGCCCTGTAATGTAACCCAGGCCCAAGGCTGCTCGGGCAGGGGGTCCCCAGCTGGGTAATGAGCCTGGCGCTTTATTGAATTCCCTGGCGTGGGACTCACTAATCATTGCCTCTCTGAGGCAGCCTGCACTACCCCTCTGCTGAGCAATTCATCCAGGGTGTCCTTCTTCCCTGAACCCCAATTTCTGCTTCCCAAATCTTCTCCCCTCCTCAAATATAAATGTGTGGAAATGACCAAGATCAGGGCAGGAACGCTCCCAGGGGTCTTGCCTGCCTCACCCATTCTGCAGAAGGCAAGGCTGCCTCAGTCTGAGGCCCAGGCAGGGTGGCTGGACTTTGCCGGGGCTGCAGCTCCCACCCCCACTGCCCTCCTAGACCTGCTGACTGGCTCACCTCCCCTTCCGGGAGGCCTGGGCCCCACAGAGGGAGGGCCTTGGCCAAGGAGGCTGAGTTGCTGGCCAGGCCTTTCCACAGAGAGGTGTAGCAAACCCTTCACTCCCTCGCTTGCAGACTGCGGCTCAGGCCTGGCCCCACCCACGCATGTAGGTGACCCCAGGCCCAGCCTCCCCGGCTGGCTCTCTGTAGCACCAGCCCTGCGATGACCCCCCCCCCACCCAGCCCAGCGTTTGCCATGCTCATCCGCATCAGTTTTGCATTCTTGCCTTCTGGCCCAGACTGTGCCCTCTCTGTGGAGAGACTATTGTGGATCTATGTGCACATAGTAGGTACTTTAAAAAAAATTGTGGACAGAAATAAGATAGGGAAAGAGGGATCAGATGCAGCGCCAGGTAAGAGGCTTGCTGCAAGACATGGGGCATCTGCGGAGCGCTGTGGGTCTCTGTGGGTCCCCACCCCATGTGTGTCTGAAGCCAGGGATCGGGTCGGACCCATTGGGAAAGGGTGTCATTTGAGTTGTCCTGTCAAGACCTGAGTGGCTCAGGAGTTGATATTCTCAGGGTGGGTCTAAGGTCAAGGATCACCCAGAGTTCACTGTCTGGGGGTGACCTCCTGCCACTGTACCTAAGAGCCCCCTTGGAGGGTCAGACAGGTCAGAGCTCAGCCCTCTCTCTGACCTCCTACCCCAGGTGGCAAGCAAGGCTGAGTGGTGCCCGACGTCCTTGGGGAACCGGTAAAAGGCAGGGGATGCCCGCAGGCCAGCCAGATCATCCCGAGGCCAGGCCCCTCCAGGCAGCTCAGCCCAAGCTCTGTTCTTGGTGGCCCAGGTCACGGCCTGTGGGACAGCGGCAGTGGGCCTCTGGACTGTCTTCTGTACCCTGGGTTTGTAAGAAGAGCCAGGGAGACTGACAGGGACGAGAGAAGAAGCTGGAATAGAGGGGCCTGCGAGGAGGGGACTTCAAAGCTCTCCCAGAACAGCTTCCAGCCAGTGGTCTAGCCAGGAAGGCAAGGCCGCAGGGCTGAGAGGGGCCTTCTGCAGGGGTGGAGTGTGAGGAGCGCAGGCCCGGGGAGGGAGGGAAGTGGGCCGGGGACCCGGGAAGGCCCAGCCCAACCTCCCTGGGACACCCACACAAGGGCACACCCTCCTCGGGCTGCTGTGAGGGTCAGCAGGGCTGATAGAGGTGGACATGCCGTGGGCTCCGAGCCCTGATCAGCCGTTATTTATTATTCTCAGCTGTGTTTTTGGTGGGAGACTTGGAAGGGCCGAGAGGGAGTCAGAGTGTTCTAGGGCCCTGTCTTCCCTGAGTGAATTGCTAGGAAGGAGGCCCCGGGAAGGTACCGTGGCTCTCGCCAGCACCACGCTGGGGTGGAGGGTTTTCTGCACTGACCCCAGGAACGAAGGGGGGCAGGAGGGTCAGTCGTCCTCTATCTTCTCCACACCCTTCTTCTACCCCCCTCATCTTTCCCCTGCCCTCTCATGGTCTCAGTGAATCAGCCTCCTCTCCTTTGGATGCCTATCCCTGTATAATGGGGCTGTGACAGTGTCTCTAAGTGCTGCTTAGAAATGTGTCACTGTCCATTTCTCTTTGTGATATCAAAGGAGGCCATGCGCGGGCTGTGTGGAGGCCCTGCCTCGGACGGAGCAGCTGGAACACAGTTTATGAAATTACAGGGAATTCAAAGCAGCCAGCGTCGCCCGCTGTCTGGCTTCATTACTGCGACTGGCCTCGGAGGGAGGTTCATTCCAATAATTTAGAGGATTAGGATCTGACACCCTTCATTAGTGATTTGACATAAGCAGAAAAGACAGATCTTGCAGAAGGACCCACACGACAGGAAGGAATCAGCTCCAGGGGAGGAAGGCCACCCCACCCAGCTGGGAAGAGGAAGTGGGCGGGGGAGGGGCGCCATGTGGCCTTCCTACAGTCCAATTAGGGGTGGTCTGTGGCCTCAGTTTCCCCGTCTGTAAGAAGGCTGCTGAGGGCCTGGAGATCCCTTCTGGTTCTGATGTGTGGTGCTCACTCTCTGCTATCCTGGGGACACTATCCTGGGGACACTGCTGCTCAGTCACTGCTCCTCAAACCCTTTGTGGTTTTTCATCCCCCCCCCACCGCGCCCCCTGCTGCTGCCTCAGCCAAGTGACCAACACAAGCACACACAGTCTGCTGGCTGTTCTGTGGCGTTTTAGATGCAGGCCCTTTCCAATGAGAGGGTGCCCCCAGCCCCCCAGCAACTTCTGGCTCTCTTCCAGGTTCCTCCACAAATATAAGCTCCTGATCTTCAAAAATTTCTTGTCCACCCTATAAAAACCAAGACTTTCGATGGTGCCTCGAAAGCAGTTTTGGCAGAGGATGGAGGAGGGTTAGCTTAATAAGGTCTTGGAGCTGTGTGACACAGGGCAAATTGCTTAGCCTCTCTGTGTGTCCCTTCAAATCTAAGACGGAGGTACAGTTTTCTGTGAGGATTAAACGAGGTGATGCATGTCGAGTCGGGCACATATTAAGAATGACTGGCCTTGCCATTGCTGCTTACTGTGACCCTGGGCAAGTGTCTTGCGCTCTTCAGTCCTCTGTGCAGGGGATGGGGGGCGGGGCAAGATGGTGCCTGAACAGTGCCTGGCACTCAGAAAGGGTTCCCTGAGTAGTGGCCACCGTGGCCACAGGTGCGGGCAGCTGGGCCGTGCAGTGCTATGCTGCTCTCTTTCTGGGGGGGGTTTCTTGGAGCTGAGTGTGTGGATGGAGGAGCGAGGAATGTGATACGTCCCGGAGCCTGGGGGAGCCGGAGCGTATCTGGTATGTGTCTCTGGAATGATTTGGGGAAAATTCACCGAAGTTGGAACCTCAGACACCAACCGCCTGGGACCCAGAGATAGGGAACTGTCCGTGTGCACACCCCCCACCGGGGAACCTGGTGCTGGGGTGGGAGTCGGCTTACACGGCTCAGCGCAGCTCAGGCCCGCCCTGGAACGGCCGTGAACTTGTTGTTTTTCCACGTCATTTGCTCTCAAATGTACTATCGGGCTGGGCGACGCTACTCAGCCTGCTCAGGTCCTTCCTTGTAACAAGCGACTGTGTGTTCTTTAGAGGTGGCCAAAAGGGAGGAGGGGGCCCAGCCCCGGGAGGTGGGGGAAAGGGAAACAAACCTTCTTTACAGGGAGCGTGCGTGTCCTGGAGCCAGCTCCCCCGAAGCACATGCCATTTCTGGCCCTTGAAGGGGTTAAAGGCCTCCTGGAGTCAAAACAAGCAGGTGTCCCACCGTGCCAGATACGCTGCCTAAACTGCTTCCAGCTTTCTCTCCCCCTTCTGCAATAAGTCTGTGATCAGCCACGGGACAGAGGCGCCAGCAGCCTGCCTGTGACAGGCATCAGGTTAGCTCGCTCCCACTCGGGTGGCGCGCCCAGGATAGAAATCCAGGCTCGGGCCCCTGCTGCGGCTCCTCTCCCTGCACACTCAGGAGACAGAGTTTCCTTCCAAAGACCTTTCTTTTATCTGAAGCCGCACAGCCCAGCAGGCTGCACTTGGTGGAGGCAGCAGCCGCTGCAGCAGCAGCCTCAGCAAGGAGACCTGCGGGGCCGGGAGGGCAGGTGTCTCCAGCCCCGGAGGAGAAGGCCCCGGTGGGCCCCAGCCCCTGGCGTCGCCGCAGGGGAGGTCTTGGCAGCTGCAGTTCACACCATGAGGGCCCTGGGGTGTCGCCGGTTCTGGTCCTGCCGGGGGCTGCTGCTGCTGCTGCTGCTGCTCGGGGTGTCCCCGCCAGGCCTGGCACTGCCGCCCATCCGCTATTCCCATGCTGGCATCTGCCCCAACGACATGAACCCCAACCTCTGGGTGGATGCACAGAGCACCTGCAAGCGAGAGTGTGAGACGGACCAGGTGAGTTGGGAATGCGGAGCCCGAGATGGACCTGAGGTGTGAGTGAGGGGGTGGCAGCGTGGACTGGGGACGACTGGGGAATGCCCTCCAGGAACGTGAAGGAGCACAGGCCCTGCCCGCCAGGAGATAAACAGAGCACGATCGATGCCTGTCTGTTGTCACTGAGGCCTGAAAGAGGGTGTGATGTCCAAGTTCACCAGAGCCTGGGAATCGCGGGCTGCTGCTCCTTCCTGGGTGCTGAGGGCTGCTGTGGGCCAGCACCATGCCAGGCACATAGAGAGAATTGGCAGATGTGTGTCAGCTGCTCACTCACAGGTAGGAGAGTGGACACTCAGAGCGGCACCATGGCCAGCGAGGGACAGGTGGGCTTGGAGCCCATATCTGCCAGACAAAGCTGAAGTTTCATCTGGCCTCCAGCCACCTCCCCAGGTTTTGGGCCTAGACCCAGAGAGTAGCCAGACTGGTGGTCAGGGCAGGCAGGGACAGCTCTGATAGATGCCCTGGCATCCTCAGGAGGGAAGTGGACTGAGTTCCAGCCTGCCAGCCTCCTCAGTCCTCCCTCCTGCTCCTCTCTGAGGACACTGCAGGGCAGGGCTGATTCCAGAGCAGTTTTCTCCTCAATGCCAAGGCACCCCTGACGGCCACTCCCACCCACTCCGGCAGGGCAAAGGGCCTGTGGTACCCACATCTGCTCTGGGCACAGCTACCTGCTGCCTGTCCTGGCCAGCTCTGAGGGTAACAGAGTCCCCTGGGGCTCTGGGTCTGGGCCGGACATCACCAGGGAACACGAGAGACCCTGGTGTTCCTGTGATGCTCGGTCACCCACAGGAGAGTACAGGGCTTCCCTGGGGAAAGTGGCCTCTGCCTCACAGTGCCCAGGGGACAATTCTCTGGCCCCTTGGGACAGATGCTTCTAGTGGGCAATGGTAGTGTCTAGAAAAAAAAAGATAAGGAGCAAGAGAGCCAGGGCTATTCCCACAGGCTGAGGTCACTTCATAGTTGGCTACATTTGCAGAGAAGCTTGTGTCATTGGCACAGAGTGGCCTGAAAAGTCAGGTGGGGCTTGGGGACAGTAGGACCGATTTTGTGTGTTTGGAGAGAAGGCACCTGTTCGGGGCTGGGGATTCAGATAGCCCCTGGGTGCCTCCCAGTCCCTTAGGTGAAAGTCTTCTAAGGATCCCCTCCAGGTTCCTTCCCCCAGTTCCCAAGGGCCCATCCACTCATGGGCCTCTGGGCCCTGAGGGAGCTTCCTGTCATCTTAGGAAATGGATGACCTCAGGTCAAGAAGCAGGCTCTCCTGCCCCATGTCCCCTCCCTGCCATCAGTTCTCCTTGGGGTCTCTCTCCCTTAGACCCACACACATGGCCCATCCCTGCCCCAAAGCCTCCCTGGTATGGCCGAGAAGCCTGTGCCAAACAAGGGCTGCAAAACAAAGCCCCCATTCTGAGTTGGAAGGGGCAGAGGGTAAACAAGGGAAGCCGGTAGGCCCTGCAGAGCCAGGGTGGGGTCCCCCCCTTAGCTGATGTGGAATGTCAAAGAGGCTGAACAAAAGTCAGGAGGACCAGAGGCCAGCCCTGGTGGGGAGTAGCTCACAGAGCCACTACCTGGTGGAGGATCAGGAGGATTGCCCGCTGCCCCGTGAGTACGGCATGTTATTGTGGAAAACACCACATGAAATCCCTGTTTGTGCCGGCGACAGGAGCATGTTGCTAATTTCGAGGAATTAAACTAATGCCTTAGGCGGCTCCACAGAAAATCAGAGGGGATTATGGTCTGGCAATGCCTCGCTGATGGACTTGCTGACCTTTGCCACACAAGGGACTTTTTTCTTGTGGCTTTCTCCATGAAGTGTCCCTCATGGAGCCAAGCACCTGGCTCTGGTATAGGCTGAGACCTGGTGTCCTGGGCCCAACACATCCTGATCTCCTCAAGGGGTAATGGGATGTGGACAGCCTCCAGAGGTGGCATCTCCCAGTTCACCAGAGCATCCTCAAGCCAATGGAAAAGACCTGAATGCAGCATCACACTGTGAGCCCAGAGCTCATTTGGTGATATCAGAATCCCACCCACTGGGCTTTGCAGTCCCTTTCTGCCACCTCCCATTGCTGTGACATGATTGTCATCTCTCTGCATCTCTGTATACTCATCTATAGAATGGTGGTAAGAGAATGTCCCCTCTTAGAAATCTGTGACCCACCACTTTCCACACACTAGTCATAGAGATGACCTTGGGCAAGTCACTTAATATCTCTCCCTCTCCCTCTCTTTCTCTCTCTCTCTCTGGTACCAGGAATTGAACCCAGGGGCACTTAAACACTGAGCCTCATCCCCAGCCCTATTTTGTATTTTATTTAGAGACAGAATCTCACTAAGTTGCTTAGGGCCTTGCTAAGTTACTGAAGCTGGCTTTAAACTTGTGGACCTCTGGCCTCAGCCTCCCAAGCCGCTGGGATTACAGGCGTCTGCTACCTGTAACCTCTCTGTGCCTCGGTAGCATCATTCATGAAGTGGGAATAATGGTTGCACCCACCACAGGCTTGTGAGGAGCACAGCAAGCTACCTGTCAGCTCGTAGTTGAGGGCCTGGCACCTGGCAGTGCCAGGTCTGCCGGAGCTCAGTCTCTCACCACCAGGGGTTCCACTCACACTCACTGGTGAGCCCGGCAAGTCCCCTCCCCACAAACCCTGGGGTCAGGGCAGGACTGTGTCCTTTCTTCCTTCCCCTCCCTGTTCAGAGCTGTCTCTGTGGCTCTTTCAGGAATGTGAGACCTATGAGAAGTGCTGCCCCAACGTGTGTGGGACCAAGAGCTGTGTGGCGGCCCGCTACATGGACGTGAGAGGGAAGAAGGGCCCGGTGGGCATGCCCAAGGAGGCTACGTGTGACCACTTCATGTGTCTGCAGCAGGGCTCTGAGTGTGACATCTGGGATGGCCAGCCCGTGTGTAAGTGCAAAGATCGCTGTGAGAAGGAGCCCAGTTTTACCTGTGCCTCTGACGGCCTCACCTATTACAACCGCTGCTACATGGACGCCGAGGCCTGCTCCAGGGGCATCACGCTGGCTGTCGTCACCTGCCGCTATCACTTCACCTGGCCCAACACCAGTCCCCTGCCTCCTGAAACCACTGTGCACCCCACCACAGCCTCCCCGGAGACCCCTGGGCTGGACATGGCGGCCCCGGCCCTGCTCAACCACCCCGTGCACCAGTCAGTCACCGTGGGTGAGACCGTGAGCTTCCTCTGTGATGTGGTGGGCCGGCCCCGGCCTGAGATCACCTGGGAGAAGCAGCTGGAGGATCGGGAGAACGTGGTCATGCGGCCCAACCATGTGCGTGGCAATGTAGTGGTCACCAACATTGCCCAGCTGGTCATCTATAACGCCCAGCCTCAGGATGCTGGCATCTACACCTGCACGGCCCGGAATGCTGCCGGGGTCCTGAGGGCAGACTTCCCGCTGTCCGTGGTCAGGGGGGGTCAGGCTGTGGCCACCTCAGAGAGCAGCCCCAACGGCACAGCCTTCCCAGCGGCCGAGTGCCTGAAGCCCCCGGACAGCGAGGACTGTGGCGAGGAGCAGACCCGCTGGCACTTCGACGCCCAGGCCAACAACTGCCTGACCTTCACCTTTGGCCACTGCCACCGCAACCTCAACCACTTCGAGACCTACGAGGCCTGCATGGTGGCCTGCATGAGTGGGCCCCTGGCCGTGTGCAGCCTGCCCGCCCTTCAGGGGCCCTGCAAGGCCTACGCGCCACGCTGGGCCTACAACAGCCAGACCGGCCAGTGCCAGTCCTTCGTCTATGGCGGCTGTGAGGGCAATGGGAACAACTTTGAGAGCCGCGAGGCCTGTGAGGAGTCGTGCCCCTTCCCTCGGGGCAACCAGCAGTGTCGGGCCTGCAAGCCACGGCAGAAACTCGTCACCAGCTTCTGTCGGAGTGACTTTGTCATACTGGGCCGAGTCTCAGAGCTGACGGAGGAGCCCGACTCCGGCCGTGCTCTGGTGACTGTGGACGAGGTTCTAAAGGATGAGAAGATGGGCCTCAAGTTCCTGGGCCGGGAGCCACTGGAGGTCACTCTGCTCCACGTGGACTGGGCCTGCCCCTGCCCCAACGTGACAGTGGGCGAGACGCCACTCATCATCATGGGCGAGGTGGATGGCGGTATGGCCATGCTGCGACCCGACAGCTTCGTGGGAGCATCCAGCACCCGGCGGGTCAGGAAGCTCCGAGAGGTCATGCACAAGAAGACCTGTGATGTCCTCAAGGAGTTCCTGGGCCTGCACTGAAGCCCATGCACCTCTCCCTGGTCCTCTTCCACCTACCCACCCCGGTGCCCCTCAGTCATTAAACTGGGCAAGATCAGATTCGACAGTCTTGGGCCCGCAGGGAAACGGCTATTAACATGTCACAAAAAAGCTACCAGAGGGTCTTAGATCCACTTCTATTCTTTGAGTTCAACAAGAGGGCCGGGCCCTTTTTAGCTGAGGGGAACAAAGGAGAAGTCAATAGATACATGTATGTTATTCCTGGTGACCAGGCTGCTCAGGCCTTCTCAGTCACCCTTTGCTGGCCACCTGCCTCCTCTGGCTCTCCCAGAGTTCAAGAGATGGCTGATGTTTGAACACACTGGCTGGCAAAGAAGGTGTGTGGTGACAAGAAGGCCCGGCAACCCAGCAGGACACGCTCCCCCAGAGCCTCTTAGATCATTGAGAACACTTCATGGTAAGGGTCATGGCAGTGGGAAGCCAGAGACATAATCCAACCCAGCCCTGAGTGGAGGCTTCCGGGACAGGTGCCTTGGGGTGGGGTTAGCCTGTGTCTCAGAGGCTACCATGGCACCGGCAGAATACCTATTTCCTCTCTGGGCTACCTTGGTCTGTTGATTTGATTCTGTTCAGTTCAACTCAGTGTATGCTTTCTGAGCACTTCCTGGATGCCCAGTGCTAGAACCACAGAGAGATGTCCTTCCCAGCTCATGATGCCCCAACATAAAGGCCCCCCGGAAGCCCTCCCGGCTGTCACGTGCTCCCGTCCGATGGATGGTGTGATTCCACATACCACTCACTTCCCTGGACATAAGCAGATAGAAGCCCCAGGATCTGCTTTGGTAGCAAGAAAAATAAAGGAGGAGAAGAGCAGGCTGGGAAGGGGGTAGTGGAAGAATGAAGGGAGGGGAGGCAGCTTGGAACCAGGAGGAATGTTGCTCGATGCTCCCATCTGGTGGCAGCCTCGCGAGCCCGCAGGGACCCAGAGGGAGGCTGTAAACGGGTCTGGGAGGAAAGGTTTGGGGATGTGGCAGCTCATTTGTGCTGTGTGTGTGTGTATGTGTGGTGTGTGTGTGTGTGGTATGTGTGTGTGTGTGTTTCCAGCCTCCTGTGTGGGCCCAGCCACCCCACCACTAGATAGAGGACTTGGGAACCCCACTGTCAGCTCTGCATCTGCCCCCCCCATCCCCTCTTCAGTCCTTCATTCTGTCCATGCTCCTCCAAAGCTAAAGAAGGCCACTGGGGGCATCCTCATTGCTTCCTCAAATGTAGGAGGAAGACACTAATTAAAAGCTCATAGTATCAACAGCTCTTCTTGTGTGACTCCTTTGGGCTACTGTGGGGAAGTGAGGGAGGACCGGTGGTTAGTGTCATTTGCTCCGATGACCTTTCAGGAGGGAAGTCAGGCCAGGGGCATCATATGTGGGTGGTGGAGGGACACTGAAAATATTCTAGGCCCACTGTGAATTTTTAACTATGGTGCTCAGCACAACTCTGTGGATTAGGAATGAGAAAGCTGAGCAGGAGAGGCAGGAGGGATGGGGCCCAGGCCAGCCAGGGCGCTCACTTCCATCCCAGTGCCCCTCCCACCAGGATGCATGGTGGATCAGGTGCGGAGTCAACCTACCACAGGTGGTGTGGAGATCAGATGGTGGAAGAGACAAGAGAGGGGTGGGCAGGGGCATGCTGCCCAGTGGTGACTCCTTGTTGGGATTCAGGGGGAGGCCAGGTTCCTGTATGCTCAGGACATGGAGCTGGCTTCTGAGAATGAGACCAGCAGCACCTTTGGCCTCAAGGAGGCTCATGGCTTATCCCCACCCCTTGGCATGTGTCCAGAGCCCTCCAACTACAGCACACCCACAACTTGTGTCCCCACCAGAGACATCTCCCTACACACGTCCCTGGGCCATGACCCAAAGGATGAATCCAGGCTAGAACTAGCCCAGTCCAGGTCAACCATTCTCACTGCAATAAGAGAATAAATAAAAAGGGTGCCAGGAGCAGGAAGACAAGCTGTTCCCCAACAAGAAGGGCCAGAGGAGTGTGGATTCAGGGGAGCCACCCACAGGAGATCTCAAGTTGTCCCTGGGAGGACACTGAGCACAAAATTTAGCCCTCAAGACGGCATGAACAGAACCACCAGCCCCAACTTGCTGTGATCAGGGAGAGAGAAGTCTATCTCCTCACTCTGCCCCTCGCTAGGCCTGGGGACCTCTGTTGCACCTGTTTCCAGCCCAGGGTGCCTAAACAAATAGCCTATAGCAATAGGACAAGGGGGCCAGGGTCACCTCCTGCCTACCCTCACTTGCACAAGTATGGGCCTGAGCCCTGTGGCTGGACCATAGGGCCCAGGTCACTGTTCTGCTTTCCGGGTGGAAGTGCAAGTTCAGGGGAGCCACCCACAGTGCCAGGCTGGCAGAGTCAGAAACCACACAACCCACGGGGGCACTCACACAGCTCTGAATCAGAACTCTGCCACTTATCTACTCTCTCTGAGCCTTGAGTTCCTCATAAGACAGACAGCAGGAAGAGCACTTTACAGAGACTTGGGGGGAAGGGGGTGTTGATCCTATATATCCCTTGGAAGCTTGGAAAACCTGAGAAACAGCCTGGCACAGAGGGGCTGCCTGGAACCTTCTTACCCTCAGTGGCTCCCTGGCCAAGAATAGGCCCCAGGACCTAAAGCTCAACCCTTGTTCTTTTGGATGCTGGACAGTGACATACAGCTTCAATGCTTTATTCTGTTGCCCACAGAGTATGTCCAGCCTGGGCACCTCACATGGGCTGATTTGGGGCTCAGAATACATGGCATTTGGGAATGGGTTGTTGGGAATCTACTGCAATTTCTGAATACTGCATGGCATTTATTTTTCTATCCTTGAAACCGTGTTTACTCTTTCATCTCTGCTACCCTAGGCTTTATGCAATGCCTGAAATCTAGTAGGGGCTCAGTCAAGGACAAGCCAAGTTCCCAAGGCTGGGTTGCCAGACAGCCTGTGGAGATTACTTACCTCACTCAGTCTGGGAGATTTGGCCTCAGGGGGCCCCAGGACATGGGGAGCCTGAGGTCTCCTTCCCAGAGGCCAGGTTCACCCACTTCCCAGTCTATACTGGACACTCATGCCTCCTTTTCTATGTTTGTGTATCCCCTGGCCACACTGTCCCTCTTTTAAGGGCATCTCTTCCCCTCCAGCCCATTCTGGCCCACTGTCTCTCTAGACCAGCCCCTGGGCCTCTGAGCCAGGCAGCTTGGCTTTTTCCACCCTCTGCATCCCCCCCACATCCCTCCCTGCACCTCCAGCCTCCTAGGACACTCTGCTCCATTGTGTGGCCAGCTGCTCCATAGTCTGATGTCACCCCCTGGACAGTGGGGCCAGAGAGCAGGGATGAGAGATGGAACCTGACCAGGGAAGGGGAACCATAATACATAGCCTTATGGTGTTTTCCTTCCGCTATGGAGGAGTCCCTCTGTCCAACTGTCCTGTTACATCAGCCTGAGTGAGGACTTACTGTGTGACAGGCACTGGGCACTGTCTCTTTGTAATCTCCATTGAAACTGTCAGATCAGGTGGGGGAGGCTTTATTGAGATATCACTCCCGGGCGGAACTCAATCAGACCCACAGAGGGGACAGGGGAAGGGTTTGAGGAGAAACCGCGTGGAAGCTCGACCGGACTGGACTTTTATGGGGCTTACAGCAGGAAGGGAAGGGCTTGGGACAGGAAAAGGTGTTTCTAGGGTCCCTTGCCCCCTTGGAGTTGGTCAGGGGAGTTAGCTGAACTCCAGGATTGGCCAGGGGGTCCTGCTGATTGACAGGTGTTAGTCAGGAGATCTGGCTGATTGACCACCGGCATCTGATTGATGTTCTTTTCCGGCGCGGGCTGCTTTGTTCTAAGTTGCCACTAAGTCGCCACCAAGTTGCCACCGACCTAACAGAAACTACATGAGATAGGATACTATTTTGTAGGTGGAAAAATTAAGGCTAGAAGGGAAAAGAAAACATGCCCAAAATCATACAGCTGCTGAGTGGCAGAGCCAGGATTTGGAACCTGCTAATCTGACATCAGAACTCCTAATGCTTATGTTATGCTTTACACACACACACACACCTACACACACACACACACACACACACACACACACACACACCCTGCTCTGGACTGGGCAGTGTGGCGTCCCGTCAGGGCTGCAGATACCATAGAAGAGCCTGCCTCCAGCCAGCCGCATGCGCACCACCCAGGCTCTTTATGACCTCGCCATGTGACATGTATTTCCATCACACACATACGTAGTCATGGCCTAGATTCCCGAGTGCAACATCAGCCCTGTGCCTACTCGTCCTTCAAGACGTGACTCCTTGGGGGAAGCCTTGCTGTCCCCAGGCTGCCTAGGCCTCTTCAAGTCTCCCTCTGTGCTGGCACTGATCCTGATCAGAATGGTTGCCTAGGGGCTCCAGGAGTGCCCCGGGCCCAGCTCACAGAGCTCAGCAGGAGCTTGCTGGATGAACGGGATCCAGGGACCATGGGCCTGGCGTGTACTGGCTGGATGACCGCAGCTTGGGGAAGGGGTTCCTCAGGTCTTCCCTCCTCTTCCCCAGTTCCACCTCAGCGTGCCTCCCTTCCTCCTCTTCCTGCCACCTCCCCAAAGAGGCTGAAGTCTCCCTCCTCCCTCCTCCTCTGGGGAATGTGTGATTAATGCAGGCAGGATGGGTGGCAGGGTTCCTGGGTCCTATTCTTGGCTGTGCCCTCATTCTGGAATCTGCCCTGAGGTCACACTCCTCTCTCAGGCTGTGTCAGAAGGAAGGAAGAACGAGCCTCCGGCTGGCATTCTGCTGGGGGAGAGGATAGGGCAGGCAGGTAGACAAGCCTACCAACCCTCTCCTTCCCGCCTCTCAGGCTCCTCAGCTCCCAGACTTCTAGTTCAAGGTCAGGTTGAAGTTTCTACATTCATGTCCCAGATTAACCTGGGACCCGGAACCCTGGCATCCAGGTCTCCAGCAACATGGTCACCCTTGAGCCCACCTATATGAGAGGAGACAGGACTAGCACGTCCCAGCCTGGGTTCTCCCAGAGAGATCTCTTCCCAGCATGCAGAGAAGAGGCGTGGGGTGGTGGGACCCTAGGGTGTTGCCTGTTGCGTGTCTTGAGGATATTGCAGGAGCCCTGACCTATCCTGATTGTTTGTTTTCTGATTTGGTAAAAGGGAAATTTCAATTCTGTTTAATCTAAGGGAGCAGGTCAGGGCATCTCTCTTTGTGTGGTCAGTCAGGGGGCCTGGAGTATTATCAAGGACCCTGGGCAGGAGAGAAGCAGAGTTCCAGAGAACAGATATT